GAAGGACCAAGGCTTAGCCTCCAACCAACCACTCCTTTCCAGCTTCCCTCCAAAATCGCTGAAAAAACTATTAAAGTTGTTAAAGCTATTAGTTTGGTGAGACGGGACTAAATTAGTGAGCTTCTCGATGCAATGTGAGGTACCTGGCAACACTGTTCCACCTCCCGTCACCGTGAGCCCATCGGAGGTATAGTTGACGTTGACCTTTCTGTCTGTGGCTTCACATCTAACTTTTACTTCGGGGGATCTTGACTGCTGATATGGGGCATGGGTCTGATCGCTCCGCTCTGCAAGGGGAGAAACTGAGGCAAAGGGACATGGGATGAATTGTCGTCCACAGAGCTGGTCTGGGACTTCCCCTGTGACGTCAGAGCCAGCTCCGTGGTATCGCCCCACACTTTTTTTTTTTAAATCCCCGACCCCTTCTGAGTAGCTGATGCAATTATGGACCACTCCCTAGAAAACTGACAGGCTCTAAATATCTGATAATTGGTGATAATTGATGGTGTGGGGGGGGTGGCGGGGATGTTCATAGACCACTGGAACATCCCTTGTATAATAAGAACTTCTGCTTCAAAACGTAATCATGTTAAAAAACAAAATATAATAATGTGTGATCTATAAGCTGGTTGGTGTTTGTTGAGTGGTATGACCCAAATGTGTGCTAAGCCTGCCTCTGTGCCATATTATTTTACAACCCCAAGAGGTGGTGTTTCTCGTTATCCCCATTTTATAGACAGAGACTGAGGCTCAGCCAGAGGACGAACCTAACCAGTCCCACATGGCCAAGGTCCCTGGGGGCTGAGGTAAGCCGTAGCCACCCAGCCTGACTTCAGAGCCCCAGCCTGAAACACCCACCCTGACAACTAGAGGTTTAAGAACCTCTAGGTCTTTGCATTTCTCGGTGCCCCCCCAGACACAGAGCCCTGGTTGAGTCAGCGGTGGGAAATCCAGCTAACTTCTTGCGTCCCCCTGCCTTCCCCAGCCTGCAGGAACGGCCAGAGCTCAGCATCCCTTCCCCAGTTCACGGGCGTGGTGCGAACAGAATAATAAAGCAGTTGTAGATGTGAAGGAGAGGGTGGTTATTATTAGCACTGAGCTAAATCCCACCTGGGGTGCACCGTCCCCGGTTCTTTGCGTGTCCACACACGTTACATCAGAATAACTCCCCCCCTAGCGTATGGGAGGGTTAACAAACGGCGAACACTGCCGCGGGATGGTGGGGCCCCTCGTGAATTTTAATCACAGATCGGGGTGCTAGCCAGAGGAGGAATCTGCTCCCGGAGAACAGGAATGCTACAGTCCCTGGCCTTGCCCCACTGCGCCGCTCTGGTTGTTTGGGAGAGGCTGCCAGAAACTGAGTAAGCATCGCAGGGCACAACAGCAACACCGTCTCGCAGCGCGCCAGCGGCCCGGCCACCTGCCGCCGTGAAAAGGCCAATTCAGCCCGCTGCAGTGGAAAAAGGTTCTCAGGGGCGTTCGTTAGCTGGCGGCATGCTGTGGGTGCAGCTTGGCCACGGGTTTCAATATTCCCTTGTAACGTTTTACAGCCCAGACCCGGCGACAATGGCGTCATTCATGGCACTCGCTCACGTGGAACAGAATGTGAGAGCCCGCGAGAGGCCGGTCTGCGGGCCCCGAGCTCCGACACCCAGGGCGAAACGAGGTGCTCGGGACCCCCGGTGGGTGTCCTGTGAGCCCAGACTGTGCAGAGCGAGTCGGCAGGACGTCCGTGCGGCTGTTGACACAGCCGATAACAGTGGGATTTCATGGTAAACTAAAGGTTCTTCAAATGGTAGGCTCAGCAGATTGGCTGATAGAACTTGACATTGCCTGGGTGTAGCTAATGCCCAGCGCTGTTACCACCAGGAAGCTTTTGATCGCAGGACAGTTGTGTTGCCCAAGCAGCTGGTGTGAAGGCAATGATTTCCTACTATCAAGGGTGAGTTGGGCCCTGGCTGGCGTAGCTCAGTGGATTGAGCGCAGGCTGCGAACCAGGCATTGCAGGTTCTATTCCCAGTCAGGGCACATGCCTAGGTTGCAGGCCATGGCTCCCAGCAACCGCACATTGATGTTTCTCTCTCTCTTTCTCTCTCGCTTCCCTCTCTAAAAATAAATAAATAAAATCTTAAAAAAAAAGGGTGAGTTGGCAAGAGCTTTGGAATATCGCTGACCTGGGCTGAAGCTCCGCCGTTACCTCTTCTGAGCTGTGTGATCTGGGGCCAGTTGCTTAACATCTCTGAGACTTCATTTCTTCACTGCTAAAGTAAATCCGATCATACCCTAAAAGAGAGTCGTTGCCAGGATCAAGCGAGGGAAAGCGTAGAAGCCAACCAGTACGGTGGCTGGGATGTTAGGAGGCACTTACAGAACAATGTGGATGGCGAAGAGGAAGATGAGGATGAGCATGGTGACAGTGATGACGCTGCTGTTGATGGTGGTGATAGCGATGATGGTGTTGATGGTGGTGGTGGTGATGAGGGTGATGAGACGCCAGCCCTCTGTTGCTACCTTTTTTTCCAGACACACAAGGGCTTTTCAGCTTCCACTTTAATTCTCTTGTGCCCTGGATTCTGCAGTGAGGCACTCGAGCTGTCGAACAATGTCGTTGATCTGCTCATCCTGAGGACGGTAGAGATCATTGCTCTGTTGCTACTCATCCTGCTCTTTCTCTTGGCTCTCCGAAGAGCCTCGTGAAAGTCACCCACATGCCACTGGATTGTAGCATCTTCTTCCCACTGCCTCTCTCATCTCGTCCTGACTGGGAAGCCGCTTCACCCGTTCATACCCCCGTTTCGACACCTGTCAGATGAGCTTGCAGACGTCGTATTTCAGGCACCAGAAGAGATGCGCATGGCTGGCGGCAGGGGTGGTGTTTCAGGCTCCTTGGAGAGCAGCCAGCCGCGAGGGACAAGCGGTTATGGGGGTGAGGTGGCTTTCCCGTTTCTGTGAGTGCCGGTCATCAAAGGCAGGGCTTGGCCTTTCCAGAGAGGGATTGTGCAATTTGGCAACGCTGGCACGGAGAAGTCCTTGGAGCCCATCGATATGTTCTCTTGTAAACTCCCACAGCCAACGTTTTTGGGAGTTATTTTCTTTAATTAAAACAGAATCACCATCTCCGTTACGAGTATAAAACTAGAAAAGAGATCCTCCCCCTTTTGTGGGAGCTTTGGCAGCCCAGTGCTTCCACTCAGCAGACACAGACAGAATTGCCGGCGAGGTTTGACAGCTTTTATTATGATTCTAATTCTTCTTCATTTTCCATGACGTCGCTGGAGCCGCAGAGCGAGGATTCTAAAGCTAATTCCATTCCTTTCAGCCTCCCCGCCCCAGGGGGAGGTACTGAGTGGCGGTGTGGCTGCTGAGGACGGCTCCAGCTTGGGTTCTGAGATGGCGCACGCCACGGGAACGCTCGGCTGGGAGACCCCTGGGTGTCCTCAGCGTGTCTGGGGCCTCACAGAAACTTGGCAGACACTTGGCGTCCCCCGCCTGGCTGCTCTGACACGCTTCTGCGTGACAAACAGAGGCAGGGGCCCAGAGGGAAGGCTGTCACACCTCTGAGGGGTGGAAATCGTGCACCCCAAATCCCTGTTCCCCTGAAAGCACATTGTGTTCTAAATAGTGACAGAAGTAATTAGGTGATTGTCCAGAAGTCAGTAGGGGGCTGTTCGGTTAGATTCCCAGTGTGTCTCTGCCCAGCCCTGTGACCATGGGCAAGTTGCTTCATCTCTCTGGGCCTCAGTTCCCTAAGCTGTTTAAGATGCAGACAAGAACATGCCCACTTCCTGTGGTTATGGAGAGGACAAAATGGGCCATTGCAGCATCCTTCAAAATGGGTGAGGTGTGTTGTTTGTTTTTACAGGAGATGATTGCAGGTGTCCTCTTCGACTCTAATAGATAAGGATTTATTTTAACAGCGTTAGAGAATCTGTAATTAGCATCACAAGCCCATAATTTCACAGATATTATTGCTCAGAGTCAGGCTGAACTTATTTGGATAAAAACCGAATTGAGGCCCTGGCTGGTGTAGCTCAATTGATTGAGCTCGGGGCTGTGAACCAAAGGGTCGCAGGTTCGATTCCCAGGCAGGGCACATGCCTGGGTTGCAGGCCAGGTCCCCAGTGGGAGCCATGTGAGAGACAACCACACACTGATGTTTCCCTCCCTCTCTTTCTCCCTCCCTTCCCTTCCCTCTAAAATAAATAAAATCTTTAAAAAAGCTAATTTAGGAAATGCAGTAAGTTAAAGAAGAGTTGGTTCTGGGTCATGGCAAAAATCACAACCATGTTTGGGATTTACTGATACGAGTTTCTTCGGGGCAGGGATTCTGAACCCATTTCCTACCATGGAGCTCACTGCAAGTCCAGTGACAACTGTAGATTAATTCCTAGAATAATCCGATGGAATGCATAAAATAAAATGCACAGATAGCAAAGGAAACCAAGTGTATTGACAGTGACATAATGATGACAGTTGCCATTTGTTGAGTGCTCATTCTTGTTCGGGTTTTCACATGTATTTGCTCACAGCTTCTCTCAACGCCCCTTTGAACTGGGAGTTTTTGTTATTCTTAGAAAACGGAGGCATGGAGGAGTTTGTCAGTGGTAACAAAATTTCAGAATTTCCTTTTAGAGCAGCTCCAAAGGAAATTCTAATGCACAAGCAGCCAACTGTGTGGACTAGGGTAACCTGGGATCCTCCCTGACTAACCTGGTGGTCAGCTACCATTCTTGACTCATTTACCTTTCTCCATACATATAGGACTATTCATAAACCTACTTGCCTAATGCATAAGGCACGAAAAGTGAGTGCCCGAACGTGTACATCCAAGGCATATGATGCACTTGAGTGTAATCGGATCACTCTGCTCATCAAAGACCCCTTTGTTTCCTTCTCTGCGACTTTTCTGGTGGATTCTTTGACCCCGTGGCTCAGCCAGTGGGGAGAGGGATCTATAGCAGGGCACCGATCGATGTCATTTCCCGTCTTTTCTCTTTCAGTAAAGAGTATCCGGTGGTCCCTAGGAGCACGGTGAGACAAAAAGTGGCCTCCAACCACAGCCCTTTCAGCAGTGAGCCCCGAGCTCTCTCCACCTCATCCAACTTGGGGTCCCAGTACCAGTGTGAGAATGGTGTGTCCGGACCCTCCCAGGACCTCCTGCCCCCGCCCAACCCGTACCCACTGCCCCAGGAGCATGGCCAGATCTACCACTGTACCAAGAGGAAAGGTGAGTGTGACAGCCCGCACCCAACGTGCCTCTTTCTCTACCTCTTTTCTTTCCTTGTGGGGGGAAAAACGTACACAGGACTACATTTATTCATTAAAAAATGTAAACAATCCAAAAATACAGAAAGATGGTGAGAAATTCAAACCATACCAGTCACACACGTCCTCCCCCAGTGCCAGCCCTTTCCGTGGGGAAAACTCACGTGAAAGGTCCAGACCTGTTTTCTTCACTGACACACACTCACACACACACACACACACACACACACACACACACACACGAGAAGGGTTGCTTTTATGTTTAGTAGTCGATATCAAACTGTGTGTTTTGCAACTTGCGCGGTTTGTTTTTTTTTTTTTAAACTTTAGAGTCTGTTGTAGATATCTGAACCTGGAGCTGCTGCTTTCTTTTTTTTTTTAACTGATGAAGAGGAAGTATTGCCTCAAAAAGATGAAGTGAGTGCATGCTGTCACTCTCGCTAGCAGACTGGAAGGTCGCTTCCAGCGTTGCTGGCCGTATCACGAGCCGTGCTGTGGGGAGCGCCCTTCTCATTGGCTGCGTCTCTTTAGCTCACGCGCCAGAGTTTCTCCCGCGTGGGTTCTTAGCTCTTCTTTCCTTTCCAGCATGAAAAGGAGAGGGGAGGCGAGGAAAGGGGAGGGGAGGAAAGGGGAGGTGAGGGGAGGGGAGGGGAGGGGAAGGGAAGGAGGGAGGGTCACAACTGATTTTCTCTTCTGTGCATCCTTTTTTTTTTTTTTCCAATCTACTAAGCTGGTGTCTAAGATATTCATAGTTTCCTTTGCCAAATAACAAATGGATGACTTTTCTTCAGTCATTTGAGTCCAAAGGGACTAGATGAAGGGAGGAAATTCCTGGTGGCCCGTTTCCTGAACCAGAATGGAAGCAGGTGGCATGGGCAGTGTGGCTGAGTTCAGCTTTACTAGAACCATGGCTTGGTGTCAGCTGTAGACAGGCATGGTAAGGGTAATGGGGCCCAGAAACGCAGGTTCGAGTCTCACCTCTGCCACCAGCTTCTTGTGTGACCTCAGGCAGGCTGTCCTGGCCCCTCTGTGCCTTAGTTTCCTGCTCTGTAAATGGCGCTAAGTTTTGTAGAGCACCAGATACTTACAAGCACATAGCTTAGTGGTAGCTATGATGGTGTAAGTGGCACACATTGCTCCAGAAAGCATGTCCCTGAAGGAAGCAAAGAGAAACTCTGCTCACCTGGGAAGGCTTGGGAAATCAGATACAGGGGGAGGGACCATGTAGCCTAGTGGTTATGCCCATGGTCTTTAGAATCAGATCATTGGGTTGGAGCCTATCTTTGCCATTTGCAAATTTTTATGATTAAGAATCAGTTACTTAACTCCTCTACTCATTAAAAAAAAAACTCACCCAAGGACATGCTCGTTGATCATAGAGAGAGGGGGGAAGGGAAGGAGAGAGAGAGTAACCGAAACATCCCTGTGAGAGAGAAACATCAATCGGTTGCCTCTTGCATGCACCCTCACTGGGAATCGAACCTGCGACCCTTAGGTTCATGAGATGATGCTCCAACCCACTGAGCCACATCAGCCAGGGCCTCTATGCCTCAATTTTTTAAAAAATCTGTGCATTGGGCTTATGATTGGACCTGTCCCGCAGGCTTGGCGTGAAGATGTTGTGAAGTCATGATTGTATTGGGCACAGGGTGGACTCAGTGCTTTGCTTGGGCAGGCCCACATCTGGGTCTTTAGAGCAGCCCGTTGTGTCTCAAAGCCTCAGTAGGCAACACGGCACCTTGGGAAGTCCGGTGCCCAGTGTCCGGCCCTCACAAGCAAACTCAGTAATAAGAACCAATGGACACGAAGCTCTGGTGGCTTTCTCTGGAGCTGGGGTTACGCGAGGAAACTCACAGTTTGACTGTCTGACATTTACTCGTCTTGCATTTTGAGGGAGGGGAGACCTGTCTTTGGTCCAAGCCTGGGCTGGGGAGCTGACCTGGGGGAGGCTGAGTTCTCCAGACTTACCTGAAGCCCGTCCAAGCTCCTTGGATCTCAAAGGCCTGAGCAGTATCACCCCACCAGGCCCCCTGGCCCGACTCCCAGCAAGCCTGCTGCCGGATGGGCTGGGGACCAGATGCCTGCGAACATGTCTGCCTCCTCAGGCACGAGCGGGGATTATGAATGTCTCACGGAGCACAGGTCCCTGCCTGGAAATTCTGTTTCCTATTATATGTAGGGGTGCCCTGCCTGGGTTCCAGACTGCAACCTTTTCAGGAACACTATTAAGAAGGTGCTTCCATGAACCAACTTTACCCATGGGGAAACTGAGGCTCAGAAAGGCAAACTCACGTGCTGGTGGTTCTCGAAGCTGGAATTTGATCCCTTGCCTGGTCTGCAGACTCCGCCTGGGCCCCGAACCACCGCTCTGTCCTGTCCCCTTTGCTTATCAGCTACAGTCTCAAAATTTCGTCCTCCACGGGAGCCCTGCTCTCGAGACTGGGTCAAGCGGGCTGATTAAGAGCTCACCAGGTTTGAATTAGGAGCTCTGTCTATTAAATTAATGCCAGACCAAAAGAAGAGGAGGAAGAAGTTAAAAAGAATCAAGGCGCTTTTTTTAGGTTCAATATTTATAGCAGCATCCTTATACGTGCATTCCTGGAGGATGCAGCGGGGAGGCTTTGAACGGGAGGCCAGTGAACCGCTTTCCATTATGGGAGCCATTGACTTTCAGGGGGAACTTGGTGGGATCTTTGCGTGAACCGAAGGTCAACTCCAGGTGGCCGCTGGGGAGGCTGGAGTTGATGGCTGGTCCACGGCAAGATACCCCCACAGTGGACATTCTCCAGTTGTGTGGCCCCGGGCAAGTTGTTGCTTTGACTTTCTGAGCCTCAGCTACCTTTTCTGCCAAATGGGGGTAACGGTGGTGCCTCCCCTGTGGGCTTGTTAGGGGATGAAATGAGAGCATCCGGGTGAAGGGCCCAGAGCAGGGCCTGACTCATAAGGGCTCGGTGAGCGTTACCTAGGCGCCGCCCAGCCCTCGCGCAGCTCACGTTGTCACAAGCAGATCAGACATTGTCACCATGCGACTGTCTGGTGCAAATGGTGACCGAATGCCGTGAAGGAGACGCACATGAAAGCGGGCATGAGACTCGGGGAGGGGATCAGGAAGGAATTTAAGCTCGGCATTGTCGTGGGAGAGGGGAAGGGGGAGAGAGTGGGCGTCTAGGCACAGAAGAAAGCATGCTCGCAGCCCCTCGGAAGGTGGGGAGTCTGCCCCCCACCTTGGGTAGTGAACAGAGGGCCAGGGTAGCTGAGTGCGGGGAGGGGAAGCTGGGGTACAGCGCGAAGTCGGCCCTTTGGGCTGTCCTAAGGACTTTAGATTTCATCCTAACACCGGCAGGCAGCCCTCAGAGGGTTTAAACCCGTGAGTGACAGGATTCGGACTTTGTCTTGGAGCAGTCCCTTGGCTATGACAGGACGGGAGTTGATGTCCAGAGCTCCTGTGAGAGGCTGTTAGGAGCCCGGGGGCCTGAACTGATGGTGGCTCAGACCGGGGTGTGGGAGCAGAGCCGGAGATGTGGGTGGCATCAGGACTCGGTGACGGGCAGGAGATAACGAGGTGAAGAATTGCCCCTTTTTCACGGATGCGGAAACTGAGGCTCCAAGAGGTTGAGTAACCGGCCCAGCGTCACCCGCCTAGTGAGTGCCCCCACCCGAAACCCACCCCATGATCCGTGCCCCGGGAGCGCCTGGGACAGGCACCCTGCCGCCGTCCCTTCACCCTTCCAGAAACCTCTGCCCTTCTCACCTCCCTCCACCCCCCAAAAAAAGCTCCCAGGGACAGGGAACATTCCAGCCAAGTGCTGTCTGTCCTGCCTGCCCGCGGGACAGAGAAAGCAATTCATCATCAGCCTCCCATTGTAAAGTGATAAGGAATCAGCGGAGGTTTCCTTCCAGTTCGGGATTCCCGTTAAGTGATAACTCCATGGGTGGCTTGCCCCTGGCCCCGGCCGCCCCGCTCCCTATCTGACTTCCCCCCATTGTCTGTCTCCTTTCCAATGAGCCCAGGAGGCCGGTGCAATGAAATGTCAAAGGGCCAGGCAGGCCAGAGGGCTCCCTGTGTTTGGGCCCAGCTGTCTCCAAACTATCTGTCCCGATGGATGGAGCCGGGAAGGTCTTTTATCAATGCCACTCGACCGCAGCTGGGACCCCGGGGCCTGGGAGCGCGCTTGTCTGTCTTCCTTCCCCCATCCCACCCTGGCAAGCCCCCACCCCTTTAGACACCGAAGGCAACCCAAATAAAAATTTTAGGCAAGCCCTTTAATGGCACTGGATATTCGAAGGGGGGGTCAGAGGTGGGAGGGGAAGGGGAAGTGCATACAGTAGAGGGCTTTGCACGGTGCATTTTCTCAGCGCCGTGTGCCTTCTAGAGCAACGTCGCGTGGCTTCCCTCCCTGGAGCCGCACCGAGGTCTCCAAGCCAGGGGGGCCGCCCTTCTCCCCGGGTCTGCGGGGCGAGGGGAGGACGAAGGGGTTGGGTTAAACTGCCAACGTTATGTGACTGGCGAGGGCAGATCCGGGATGCACTCGTCAGATATATACGATCCAGCCTTTCCTTCGTACTGCACACTGTGCCGGGTGCTTGGGATGAGGGCAAGATGACAGCGCCTCCTGCTCTCATGGGACTGTGTCTCACTGGGGGGGACAGACAGTAAGCAAGTGCATAAATTCAGTGGCTTCGGCTAGTGGCTGAGATCTGAACTGGAGTCTTTGGATTCCTAATCAAGGACATTCTTACAATACCATTGCAGTCCTTTCTACTTTAAGTTAAGAACTAAAATCTACCCATTCATCCATCCGTCCACCCACCAGTCCATCGGTCCGTCCATCCATCCATCGATCTATCCATCCATCCATCCTTCCATCTACCCACCCATTCATCCATCTATCTATCCATATACCCACCAATCCATTGGTCCATCCATCCATCCATCCTTACATCTACCCACACATTCATCCATCCATTCATCCATATATCCTCCCTCCCTCCCTCCCTCCCTCCCTTCCTTCCTTCCTTCCTTCCATCTACCCACCCACCCATCCATCCATCCATCCATCCACCCACCCACCTGGTCCAAGGTTACCACCTTTCATCTTCTTTGAACGTGAGTGTCATGAAAGCCGAGAGGCTAAGACTATGCAGCATAAAGAGCACTGTGTGGTGAGTCAGAGGCCTGGATGATAGTTCCACTCCTGTGTTGCTAAAGGTCACTCAGCAACAGCGGCTGCTCCCCACTCTACCGCTCTGGTCTCAGCCCAGATGAACTCAGCTGCCAAGGGAAACGGCCCATGCGGGAAGGGCGATGATATTTGTTCAATGGGATTAGTGATTTGAAAGTGAGTTGAAAGCAGCTGTGTGTTTCCCGGCTCTGGAACCCACCCAAATACCTTCCAGTATTGGATGACCTTCACAAAGCCATCTGTCCACTCTTCCAAGGGAGAAAAGAGGTAAAAGAGAGTAGCCCCCCGTTATTCAGACAGATAAGACTTACACACTTACCTGACGTGCAAGGAAGATGGACAGAAACTAGACCGCACTTCTGATTATCTCAGCTCCTACATGAAATTTCTGTATTATCATCATGTACAGTCAAGAGCTGAGATTGGAGTCGTCCTCGTGGTTCATCCAAGGTCACAGAGCCAGCGAGAGCCAAAGACATAACTCTGTGCCCTAAAACCTCTGTTCTGGATTCATCATTAAAGCCACTTTTCCCCAGAAGCAATAGCATCCAGAAAAAAATGCGAGGGACCGGGGTTTCTCCCAGGGCTCTGCAGCGATCGGCGGTCAGAACCGGGAAGGGCTTTATTGCTCTTCCGAGATCCGCAGTCGGGCTCGGGGCCGCTCTCTTCACACGGCTTTCTGAGGCCGAGCTGGGGCCTCGCTCGCCCAGGAGCCCAGGACTCGACCCTCGACGGCAGCCCCCTCCCCTCGCTGTGGAAGGGAAACACGACTTGGCTGGCAAGAGGGGTCTTTGCTGTTGATCGGTTACCAGGCTTCCCCCCGACCCCCCCAAAAAAACAAAACACAGAAAGCCATCCATAACCAAAATAAACGCCGAGATTACATCCAAAGCATTTATCACAACCTGAAATTTGGATGCTTGCTTTGGAGTGTCTTTACAATGTGGTGAGGCTCAGGAGGAATTTGAGAGCGCTCCAGACCCGCTTTCATCGATGAGCCAGCGCCGAACTTTTCTTAGGACTCTGCACCAGACCTTTGGGGTATTAAAGCCTGGAATGTGTAATTTTATGATTTTCCAAAATGAGCTCCAGCCTTTTTCATATTATTCTTCCTTTTTTTACTTGTAACAAATCTGGAAGGGGATCAGAAACTTGGGAACGGTTAGTTTTGCCTTGGGTTTTTTTTTTGTTGTTTTTTTTTTCTCCCCCTTGCCAAGGGTACCCTGCAGCAGCTGCACTTTCTATTATTGCGAAGGGGAACGCCCTGGTTAAACGGAAAACCCGAAGGTTCTGAATCCAGCGACAATGGAAACATTCCGATTTATGGATCTGGGGGTGGAAGCAAGAATGGAGGGAAGAAATCAAGGGAGGAAGCGACCAAGACAAAAAAAAAAAAGTTGAGTGTAGCCGTGTCTTCAAGATGCCAAAAGAACGCCCAGCTGAAAAGTGAAAAATGCGGATGTCTCCACACATCTGGCGTGACGCAGACAGAGCACCTGGGAGGGTGGCTGCCCTCTTCATTTTTTTCTGGACAAATCTTCGGGCATCCTATGGGCCCCAGATGCGTCCCAGAAAGAGTCTGGCTGGAAATAAGTTTGCTGGCTGCTCCGTGGGTACGGCCCCAGCGTAGCTGTGTTTTGTCTGGGAGATGTTTGACCCGTCTGTGGGAGGCGCTGGGAGAAGGAGGCAGGAGGAGATGTGGGGTGGAAGCCACGCCCAGGCTCCCCCGCCCCAGCTGGGGAGCTGTTTGGTAATGCAGTCGGAAGTCCGAGGACCTACTGTGGTGTGAAGGACTGGCTGGGGACTTTATATCTGAGGACCCCCTTCTGGCCACAGAGGGTCAGCCTCCCGCCCTCAGTGGCCAGGGAAGAGTGGAGAGGGGCCACGGATGTGTGCCAAGAGCAGGACTGTTGCTACCTGTTGACCGGTCTGTCTGCAGCACCTGGCACAGGACCTGGGCCCTTGGTAGGGCCGCAGGGACACCTGTGGAATGCCGGGGCGAGTGGCGCTGGGCAGTAGAGATCGAGAGAGCTAGCGGCAAGGTGCGGTGGGGAGAGTCGGTCCGACTTGGCTTTGACTCCAGCCTGTGTCCTTCCCAGCTGCGGGACCTCGGGTCGGTCACTTCCCGGAGCCTCCCTCCTTTCTGCCTGTGAGACAGGAGTGAGAGCAGGCATCTGGAGGAGTGGCTGGGAGAGGAGAGGAAGGTCCCTCAGTAGCTGCCCCATCAGTGACAGCTCCTGCGTCCCCCCCGCATCGCCGAGTCCTGTGTTCCGCCCTCGCGCCCCCCCCCCACCGGGCATGGCAGGGATGTCCCAGAGTTTCGTTTTTCTTTACGCCCCCTAACCACAGATGCAGTTCTTAACATCTGTTGGTTAGAAAGCAATTGGAAGACGAGGGAAGAAAAAATCTACAGTTTAGGGGTAGAGCCGCAGCTCAGGAATGAATCTGAGTTGAGGTTTGCACCTCGGTAGGAAGTCCCAAGTACGGTTCCCCCGAGGGAAGCACCTGGAGGTGGGTCATTACAGACGGGACCTGCCACAGGGCCGATCGGTGGGGTCACCCTCGCTCAGGAGCCGCCCTTGGAAACACCCTATCAGGAGATTCCCATGCTCCAGCTCACTGCATTCTCCGCCCCCCGTGGAGTAAGGATGACTGACTCTGACTCAGAGATGAGGATCATCAGAGTCTCTGTCAGGGCAGATGCTGACACCGCACAGACAGGAGGTGGAAAAGCCAGGTTCCGCCCCACACAGGTCTAGACTTCCAAACCCGGAGTCCGGATAGGAGGGGGCCCTCGAGCCCCCTGGAAGTGGTGTGCACACGCCCCCTCCCCGAACTTTGCGTGTCAGTGCATTTTTTTCTAGCAGAAAGCCCAGCCCTCTTGTGAGTTCCCAAAGCGGTCGGCGAGCACAAAGGGGCCAGAACCGCCTCCGCTGCCCCACGCTAGGGAATGCCTGCGCCCAGAGAACCCAAGGGGCTGGCTCAGCCGCCACACAGCGAGCGGCCGACTCGGCTGTTTGTGCTGACTCAGCAGATCCGCACCAGGCGCTTGCTGGCGCAAGGCAACAGGACAGGGTGTGGAAACGCATTCATTCGAGCTCCCATGCATTTGCCCATCCCTCCTTCCACCCATTGCACAAACAAGTACGGCACGCCCTCTCTGTGCTGCGTGGTATCGGAGAGCAGAGACTTTGGATCGCGATCCTGCCTAAATCCACTGTTACTCAGCTCTGTAAGGCTGGGGCAAGCTTATTAGCCTCTCTGGTCTCCCTTCTGTCCTCTGCAGTAGAATGGGGATAATAATAGGACTCATCTCATAGGGTGGTTGTGAAGATTAAATGTGTCATCTCCTGGGGAGTGCTTAAAACACTACGCGTTGTTTTTACTGCTATTGTTGGTTTTATTATTATTTTTTTTTGTTACTAGGGATGAATCAGGCTCTGGAAGTGCCCTGCCTTCGTGGACTGTATGCAAATTTAGGCTGGGGAGGAAGGGAGATAATTTAAATAATGGTAACTCTTATGTCTTGAGGGTTCCTTTGTACCAAGCTCTGGACTAATACATGTTCTCTCGTTTCATTCTCAACAATTCCCTGTGTAGCAAAATGCTGTTAGGACCCTTTCCGTTTTGCAGACCAAGAGACTGAGCTCAGAAAGATCAGAGTGTTTGCTTAGAACTCCATGGCCAAGGTCCTCACCGTGACAGTCCCCCTCTTTGCAGCAGAATAGAGCCGGGGGCTGCCAGTCCTAGGACATGTGACTTATGGTGTCCCTGCCTGTAGCGGCCAGGCGCCTCGTGGCCCTCATGGCCCTCACAGCCCTCTCTCCCCCTGTCTCAGCAGATGAAGAGTGCTCCACCGCAGACCACCCCTACAAGAAGCCCTACATGGACACCTCGCCCAGCGAAGAGGACCCGTTCTACCGCCCCAGCTACCCCCAGCAGCAGGGCCTGAGCGCCTCCTACAGGACAGAGTCGGCCCAGCGGCAGGCCTGCATGTACGCCAGCTCCGCGCCGCCCAGCGAGCCGGTGCCCAGCCTGGAGGACATCAGCTGCAACACGTGGCCCAGCATGCCCTCCTACAGCAGCTGCACGGTGACCACCGTGCAGCCCATGGACAGGCTGCCCTACCAGCACTTCTCTGCCCACTTCACCTCGGGGCCCCTGGTGCCCCGGCTGGCCGGCATCGCCAACCACGGCTCCCCGCAGCTGGGAGAGGGCATGTTCCAGCACCAGACCTCCGTGGCCCACCAGCCTGTGGTCAGGCAGTGTGGGCCTCAGACTGGCCTGCAGTCCCCCGGCAGCCTGCAGCCGTCGGAGTTCCTCTACTCCCACGGCGTGCCGAGGACCCTGTCCCCGCACCAGTACCACTCTGTGCACGGGGTCGGCATGGTGCCGGAGTGGAGCGAGAATAGCTAAGGGTGGCCCGTGTCCTCACAGACGTTTGCTAGAGAGAGAGGGAGAGGGAGAGAGAGAGAGAGGGAGAGCGTGCGGGAGAGAGGGAGAGAGGCAGCAGCAGAGAGAACCCCACGGACAAGACTCTCCATTTTACCCCATGTTCACGCCTGCACTCGAGACCCCCCCAGACACTGATCTAATCAGTAGCCCGAAACCACAGTTCAAAAAATGTGACTTTGTTGTTTCATCTCAAAACTTCAAAACCAAACCAAACCAAACCAAACACGAAACAGGACGAGGCAAGCCCCCGCCGCAGCCACCGCACTCATCCCTGGGCCATGTTCACGCCGCCGCCAGGGGACCTCCCTGATTTCTTCTTTTGGTCCCCAGAAAGTCTTGCCTCATCGAGCACCGCACCCTAACGTGGAGTTGGAGTCCTTTCCTGTCTTGGTGTTAATGTTGACATTGTTATATAATAAATAATAATATATTTTTTTCTTTCAACTTTCTTAACGGGACCCAGTCCCTTATTTTGGGGGAGGTCCGCGGCAAGTATGTTTCCAAGTCTGTACTTGTGGGGACCCCTCCCCGTGAACCACCCCTTAAAATCTAAATTTGCCGCCTTTCCCTTGATGAAGAAGTGACCTACCTCCGCCGTGTACTGTTTCTGAAAAGGTCCCCTACGTGCCCGGCTCTTCTCTGATTGTGTCCTGCCTTCCCCATCGTCACGGAGCCCGGTTTGATTTCTGGGGGAGGCAGGATGACCTTGGACTCCACGCGGTGCCACCTCTTACTCTGCGCTCCCGTCTTCCCAGCTCTGGGGCTTTCTAAGCCAGCTGTCGCTAAAGCGTGGCGTAGAGCTTCCTGGGCCAGAAAGCTCGCTTTGAAAAACTTAAAGAGCGCTGGTTTACATGCGGGCAGAACTGTGATAAAAAAGGGGCAAGCCCCGTGCTGACAAGAGTGGCGAGAAAGCCAAAATAAATATTCGTCCTGACAAAAAAAAAAAAAAAAACAAAGCCAGCCCCAGCCTCCAAACCTCTCGGCGACCCAACTGGATGCAAAAGCAAAACCCACAATTCCTCGCGAAGAGGCAAGACGTGCCCACCGACCAGTTCTCTCCACGGAGATCACACCAAATGCCGACACCAAACTGTGGTTACGGAAAGCAGAAAACAGTATTAAAAAAAAAGAAAGTGTGTAAGTAAAACGTTATTGCAGGGTTCTTCAGATGTAATATTTTACTGGTACTATTTATTTATAAATAGGAGTTCTAATTAAGTAATAACATGAAATCCAGCATGGGAGCTGGCCAAGAGCTTTTAATTTTATTGATACTCAAAACCAAGTTTGCGTTCTTTTTTTTTTCCTCCTTTCGAATGTGCTTTGCTTTCTTGATTAAAAAAAATTTTTTTTTAACTGACCCTAATAAAAAGAACAGGGTAATATGAGAGGCCAAGTATGTCCCAGTACGTGAGAGTGTGTGAGTTTGTTTGTATGTGCGTGTCTTCAGGCGATTTTGTCTTTTTATGTTGCTACGGGGGGAGGGTGAGAATTAAGTACTCATTTCGTATTTTTGTGTGCCAAGTAATGCCTAATAAATACTATGTGCTTCAAAAAGTACAAGGGACTTGGACACCCATTTTTTTCCCCCTGTTCTTTCCACCGACTGCATAGAAAGGAACTCAGGTAGAGGAAGTGAGGAGTTCTCTTCCAGGTGACGTCACCCCATCTGCCCTCTCTCGCTCATTTCAAGGTATTTAGGACCTTGAACTTGAGTGTGAGGGAACTGAATCCATGTATCCACTGGCTTCTGTCCCTGGGATGGAGGTATTCGTTTTCATTGAATTTGTGTCAGCATTGGAAAAGAAAAACCGTCAGGAATGCCAACTGATCAATAAATGGCATCGGCCGTGCTGTGTAGGTCACACCCACTACTTGGTTTTCTGAAGGATCTCTCTCTTTGAATTCATTGCCCGAGCTGAGGATCTTGGAGGTCCCAATGCACGCAACGTGACGGGCCGTCACGAGAATATTTTACTTAAAACACACACATTTAGGTTTGGGAATCAGTCCTCTATGACATACACAGGGCGGTGCAGAGCAGCTAATTGGTAAGTAAATTAGTCCCGCAGAATGTTTTTAATCTCAGTTGTCCACAGTGTCACGTCCCTTTGAAACAGGGATGACTGGCATGTCGATGACTAATTCTTCATTTAATCAGATCCCTTCGGGATGTTTCCTAGGGGAAGAATTCCCAGGAAATGTGGATTCGTTATAAAGACAGGACAATTCCACCTTTTTCATGTGCAGTGGAGAACCTCGGTCAAAGGCATTTTCATCCCCACAGAGAACGAATTAGTACAGTTTCACCCACCAAGTTCTGACGGTCCTCTAAAGAGGTATTTATTTTGATGGACGCGCACACACACACAGATACAAAAGCGACTTTTGAAAAGATTGCCTTCCAAATGCCCTTACCAACGACACAAGGCCACCATTCTCACCCTTTCATAAGAACAGGACAAGAATTCCGAATTAACGTCCCCCCACCCCAGCCCTCAAAACAGTGGTCCCCCTTGGAAAATCATTCAAAACCACGTTCTCAGTGAGTTTCAAAAAAATCAGCAGAGGGACACGCTCATTCCATAACACAGGTGGGGCGACCTCTTTGGGCGCCAAACAATGGAGATAAAGGTATAAGGATGTGATCCTCACATGTCCCCATAGTTTTACCATTGTGTGGATGCCCAGGAGCAGAACACAAATTACTGTTTCTGTAGCCTGTTCAGTGGATGCTTGTTCTGGACCAGACGTGTCATAAGTACTGGGGACACGGGGGTGAACGAGGTGGTAGAGGTGGTGTCCTCCTGGCCCGTATGGTTTAGTGAGAGAAAACAGTACTTAGGTCATTGAATAATCCAGGGGCCACAAGTGCCGGAAGAACCACAAGGACAGAGTGAGCTCATGATGCTGTAATAGGATAAGAGGAGGGGTCCTGACCTGCTTTGCAGGAGGCTACTTTTGAAATGATGCGTAGGAATTAGCCAGGTGAAAAATGGTGAGGAACAGCATTTCAGGTGGAGGGAACAGCTTGTGCAAAGGCCCCGAGGCAGAAATGGTGATGGGAAAATGGGATACTGGTTCAGGAACGTGTAGTGTTCACCTAGTCTGCATCGCTCATTTACTCAATCAGCGAGGGTTAAGGTCCCACCTTGTACGGTAGACACCTGTACTCACTGAAGACCTACTACTGATGGTGTCGGTTCCCCCAGCGGCAGAGCGCAGACTGGATTAGCGAGTGGGTCGGCTGCTTGGTACTCGGGAGGAGAGTGTCACGGCATCTTCCCAGCCCCCTGGTCCAACACTGAGCACTTGAGTGTGGGTGGGACTCACAGTTACAGGGCAGGAGGATCGCCAGTGCTTTGAGTTTCAGATCCTCAGTACCCCTGAGCTCAGAGACGCTGGGACCCCAGCGCGGCACAGCTGGTGCAAGACGGAGCTCAGGAATGCCCATACGAGTTTCTTTTCTGTGAAGTCCATTATGAAGTTTTCTTAATCGTAAAAACCGGAGACAGCCTTCTTATCCCATAACGTGGGGTTGGTTAAAGAGAGCAATGCACACTCACACGATGGCGTAGCCCAGGGCCCTTGGGAAACACGTGAAGATGACTTAAAGATGGTATTTAACATATATTATGAGTAAAGAAGGGGGTCACATGCAGTCCTTCAGTTTTCCTAAATGCACCTGCATTCTCAGGGGGAAAACCAGGATGTACAACAAATACCAGTGGTGGGACTGTGAGTGTTTTTGTTTTTAAAGATTTCATTTATTTATTTTTAGAGAGAGGGGAAGGAGGGGAGAAAGGGAGAGAGACACTGACCAGTTGCCTCTAGCAAACCTGTAACCAGGGACCTCCCCTGCAACCCCAGCATGTGCCCTGACCGGAAATCGACCTGACCACATTTTGGTCTGCGGGATGACACCCAACCCACTGAGCCACACCAGTCAGGGCCGGGACTGTGATGTTTTAAGTTTTCTTTGTTTTATGGAGCCTTTCTCCTTTGTGTGTGGGTGATGATGAAGCTGGATTATCTTTGTGGTTCAGAATAGGATTAATTACTAGGATAACATCCAGTTTATTGTTTGGTCATCAGTCGAACCGAGCGTCCGAGGAAGGGGGCGCACCCTGTTCTACTTTGAGGGTGAGGGGCCGGCGCTCCGCCCAGGAGTGGCATCGGCTCGGTCAGCGACAGAGCTGCGTGCCAGGACGAGTCGGCCGAGTGCTGGTGACCGGGTGTCCCACCTCCCAGCCCGGGGATGCCTGAGGCTGCTCTCTGTCCCCACTCCCTGGGCCAGCTGCTTCCACTCCTGCACCGCCTGCAGGGTTAGGCTGCTGTCCTGGGGTAAACTATTATTCTCCCGTTAACAAATGCATCACACACGCACGTGCACGCGCGCGCGCACACACACACACACACACGGAGCCAGGCAGTTGTAAGGATCTTACCTTGTCCTCTCACTGGCCCGGCTTATACAGGTCACTGTGCCACTGACCGCTTCTGTGACCGTGGGCAAGCCACCGAACCTCTCTAACCTTCCACGGAATCGTCTATGGAATGAGGACACTGCGAGTGCTCACCCCAGGGAGACGCTCTAGCGAGGGTTCCGGGAGTCGCTGAGGGTAACGAGCCCTAGCGTGTTGTCTGGTACAGAGGACGGGCTTGGGGGCTGCTGGCTGAGAAAAAGACGAATTAGCATTTATCACTATGATTACTACCCACAGTGTTATTTTTCCCCTTCCTCATCTCACGTCTCACCTGCTTGCCCAGGTGAGACGTGGCAGCCAAACCCGTATGCGTTAGGGTCTGCTTTCAGAAAAACCTAAACTGAGAGAGTGAAACTGTGAACCCCAGAGCTGTTCCCCTTTAGCCTACAGGGTAGGGGCGCTTGACTTGAGAAAGGTTCATAATCTCTGTCTCTGTTTCTCTCTCTCCGTATCTTGTCTTTCTCCCCCAGAGAGAGAATCTCTCGAGAAATAGCCAGAGTGAAACCGCTAGTGCACACGAGTCTAGTCTGTCACCAAACTTTTTTCTTTAGTGCCTTCCACCAAGATCCCCAAGATTGTCCCTTTATTATAATTATGGCTCTTGAGCTTTCCTTCACCTCTGCGAGTTCCCTTTCAAAGCTGCCGCGGGTGCGTGGGTTGCGTGCACCACGACCCCCAGAGCACGTCGCTTATGCGGATGGTTTATCCAAATGGAGCTGAGCAGGACACAGCCTGCCCAGCTGCCCACGGCAGCCCCGGACCATCGATACTTCCAGGACGCCCTTTCCCTGGGGGCTGCCCCACAGCTGATCGAAACCTTGACATGGGAAGGACTTGGAGATCTCATGACCCAGACCTCTGCCTCCAGAAGGTCCCAGGCATGTCCAACCCTCTGCCTACAGGCCACCTGCGGCCCAGGCTGGCTATGAATGTGACCCAACACAAAAATCGTAAATGTACCTGAAACCTTTTTTTTGCTCATCAGTTTTTGTTAGTGTTTGTGTATTTGACATGTGGCCCAAGACAACTCTTCTTCTTCCAGCGTGACCCAGAGACGACGAAAGGTTGGACACCTCTGGAATCGTGGGTGTGGGGTAGCTGTGGTGTGCCTGAATCCCGCCAGAACGCAATTCTTCTATGCTTCAGGTTGAAGTTTGTCCCTAAAACAGAGGTCCAGCCTTTCCCAACTCTCTCAGCTACCTGCCTCCCTTTCCTGGAGAAAAATACAATTGAAGGGAAAGAAGAAGAGAAGGGGGGGTGGGGGAGAGAGAGAGAGAGAGAGAGAGAGAGAGAGAGAGAGAGAGAGAGAGAGAGAGAGAGAGAGGGAGACCCAAGAAAAGCTTTTACATTGCTCTAATTTCTGAAACATAAAAGCTATTCTTTTAGAGTAAATCCATTTTTTCCCCATGGCATTAAGGATAGAGAAATTCCTGGGAAAATAATTTGTCAAGTCTCGACTGATCAAAGATACATATGAAAGGACCCCACTTTTTTTTCTTCCCAAGGCAAAAACCAGCCCCCCGTCTACGCTCGGAATGAATCGGCAATTCATTTGCCGACTGTCAGATAAAGTAGCGCAATCCCCATCACATCTTTAACGGGGACGGGCCCAGAAGGAAGCAATTCCGTGCCCACCGAGTGTACAAGCTGGGGGTATGTTAGTGATTACAGGGATCCCGGCCTGGGGAGCCAGAGAGATATGACTCAGATTCGCAAATGCACCATAAATCTCCCTTTTATTCAAAATGTGTGTTTTATAGTCGTTTCCTGGCCAATTGCTGCCTTGAATAAAT